ACTGCTGGCTCATAGTCAAGTGATCATCCACTAGGACTCCAAGGTCCCTCTCACAATTGCTGTTTTTGAGCCAGGTCTTGCCCAATCTGTACTTGTACCCGTGATTTTTCCTACCTAAATGTAAAACTTTGATTTCTCCACATTAAAACTCATTTTGTTGGATAGGACCCATTGTTCAAGTTTGTTAAGATCTTTTTGGATTCTAAGCTTGTCTTCTGGGGTGTCAGCTACTCCTGCCAGTTTAGTGTCATTTGCAAATTTGATGAGTTCCCCTTCTATTCCCTCATCTAAGTCATTAATGATGTGGCTGTGGGGGCAGTTATCTTACAAAGAAACAACCAAGATAGCCTATAATCATGTGCATATACCTCCAAGAAACTCACTGATGCAGAGTTTCAGTGGGCAGTTTGAGAAAAAGAGGCTTACACAATGTGCTGGTGCTCTAGTTTGGAGGCACTTCCTGGAAGGGAGCAAAAAACCTAGAAGCCCTGAGAGAACCCCGGAGGTTGTCACCAAAGCAAATCCAATGGGCTTAGTACTTTAATTAGTTCAACTTCACCTGGTATCTCCTAGGGGAAATATTTTTTTAACTATCCAAAATGCCTCAAAACAACAGTTCTAAGCTAGTGGTAGTTAAACCCATCATCCCTTCCTGCCAGCTTGCAGCACCAGTAACTACCCGAGTACAGGCAAAGGTGAAACCCTAAATAGGGGAAATAATTTTTTAACAGTTGCACTATCCAAAATGCCTCAAAACAACAGCTCTAAACTAGTGGTAGTTAAACCCATTATCCCTTCCTGCCAGCTTGCAGCACCAGTAACTACTCGAGCATAGGCAAAGGTGAAACCCTAAATAGGTGAATGGATAGAAGTGACCCTAGAGGCAGAAGTAGAGGGGAACAAATGGTTCCAAGCCCACAAAAATGAATGTACAATATAGAGTGGTCTGGCCTGGGTAGGAGCCAAACTATATGTCCCCAAAAGCCAGAGATTGCTGATCTTGGAGAAAAGCCATGACTCAAAAACTGCAAAGCCAAAACTTGGCTTTGTAAAGACTTTACACTTAATTAAGCTGCAGTTTTGGTGGCCATCGCTTAAAAAGGACATTCAGAATTATGTGCCCAGTTGCCCAGTATATGCCTCAGCAAAGCAGCAGTAGGGGAAAATACCAGGACTCCTCCAGCCGATAGCAGAGCCTACTGCCTCATGGAAGGAAATCTCCATGGACTTCATAGTGGAACTCCTTGAAACTTCAGGGAATACCATGATCGCTGACTTGTTTTCTAAGCAATCACATTTTATGCTCTGCCAAAATATTCCTTCTGCCCGCACCTTGTCTAAGCTGTTCATTCAACATGTTTCTAGATTACACGGTGCTCTGCAACAAATAATCTCTGATTGTGGAGTGCAATTCATTTCAAAGTTTTGGTAGGAGTTTCTAAAACTCTTGGGAATGCCCCAGGTACTTAGTTCCAGTCATCATCTGGAAACAAATGGGGGCTGTGAACATTTGAATGGGGTCCTGGAACAATACCTGAAATGTTACATCAATTATTATTAGGACAATTGGACAGACCTCCTGCCATTTGCTGAGATGGCTTACAACAACTCCATACATAGCAGCACTGGGTTTCACCCCATTTAAAATGACTATGGGACAAGACTTTGTGTCCATACCTGAATTGCCCCTAGCCACCCCTCCTATCACATCGCTGAAGGATTGGGTTACTCAATTACAGAATACCTGGGCAGTGGTTAGAAAGTCAGTGGACGAAACAAGAAAAACTTGCAAAACACAAGCCAATAAAAAGTGAATAAAGCCCAAAGACTTTAAAGTAGGGGACTGTGTTTACCTGTCTACAAAATATCTGTAGTCTGGGCAACCTTCCAAAAAACTGGGACCAAAGTATGTTGGCCCATTCCCCATTAAGGGGATTATCAACCCAGTTACAGTAGAACTCGAACTGCCTAAATCATTTAGGCACATCCATCCCATTTTCCATTGCAGTTTTTTAAGACCCAAAAATCTGTTCCCACTACACCCAACACCACCACCACCACCACTAGAGCCACTCATGATTGAGGGGGGAACAGCATTTTGAACAGTAAACATCGAGTATTTTGTCGCATGGACTTTCCTCCCTCTGAAACTGAATGGGTGGACCTTAAACACATCAAGGCAGCTAAGCTTCTTAAGGGCTTTCATAACCAATATCCTGATAAACCAATATAGCTTGCATATTTAGCCATGCATCTGTATTATTTCTCTCTCCTTTTGTTTTTGTCTTGCAATAATAATAAATATTAATATTTTTAAGCATGGAAAATGATTTCTTCCAAAACATGTAAATAGGGATAGTATAAAGCTACATCAGTTATTTTTAATTGGGAAAAAGAATTGCAACAAGGAAGTTTCAAACTTTTGCCATATATTTATTCTGCATTATTTTGCAAAGCTTGCGTCATCATCACCACCCACCATCATCATATATTGTCTGTATATCTACATAGTCCAATAAAAGAACTGTCTAGGGAAAACAACAGCATATTTGTAGTTCAAATAATAGTAGGTGGGGAGGTGGGGAGGGGTTGAGAGAGAGAGACAGAGAGAGACAGAGAGAGAAATCAATATCTGTGAGTTTTCATCTATCCCAAATCCTCAAGAATGAAAAATAAGCATGCTTTACAGCCAAAGAATATCTGGGTGGCACTGGAAGTTACATTGAACATAAGCAAAACATTCCAACCCTGCAGATACTTTATGTACATTTCTAGCAGAATTTATTTTAAATAGTATAATAGTCATTATTTCTTTCTAACAAACTCCCAGAATTTTTAGCCATTTTGTCTTCATTACTGCTGTAAAAAGATTGCAGAATTGGTTAAAGGAAATAAAGATCAGATGAAAACAAAAGCACAAAAAGATTACTGTAATTACCTATTTAATTAATTAAGGTATTCTAATTTAAATGCAGCCTCATTTAAAGTACACACATTTTCTTAATCAGTTACATGTGATATCCAGAGTGTCAGCAGATTCACTTGAAAGGTTCTCTGATACAGTCCAGGACATGCTTAGTTTCCAAAGATATTGGTTATTAGCCAAAATGAAACAAAACAAAAACAGTGTTTCACATTAATACTATTTTGGCAAGTCGCAGTAACATAAGAAAGACAAATCTTTACTGAAGAAACAAACAACACAAATCAGCATTGAAAACTTTTATTAGATGTCACAATTTTGTACAAATTATTTGTAATAAGCAAATTATTTAGAGTAAATATAATACTCTGTCAGCTTTTTATGGTTTTAAACAATCTTCCCTAACCTTTCACCATCTAGATCAGTATTTCTCAATCCCAGCAACTTTAAGTTGTGTAGACCTCAACTCCCATGTTTTCTGGAGAACTGTGGAAATTGAAGTCCCATATCTTAAAATTGCTGAGGTTGAGAAACACTGTTCTAGATGCTGGGACATAAGTTTTAGAATTCTTACAAAAGTCTGGCCAAGATAGAACATGAGAGCCAGTTTATTGACTTTGGGCCAGTCACTATCTCGCAATCCTCACAGGATTGTTGTTCTGGGAAAAATAAGAGGAAGGAATATTATGTGTGTTTGCTATCCATTTGCAAAAATAATAAAGGCAGGATATAAATAATAATAAAAACATTGTTTCATGCATATTTCTTAGAATATACAAGACTTTTATTTTATTTTGTAACAGGAGTGGTTTTAATCTTTCATATCTGAATCCATTACCTGCAGAGGATGATACTGTAATGAAGAATAATCCTGCACAAGAGAAATCCTCATAAATGTTTTGAAAATTAAATGATCAAATGATGTTCACTTTATTTCTTTGCTTGATGTACAAGACTCTCCAAAACTTTTTTTCTATTTTTTTCATATAATAACCTAAGTTTTGAATTTCCTCTTCTAAACATGAAATAAAAGAAAATAAACTCTATTGCTCTTAATGGATGCCATTTTTCATTTTAATTTATAGATAGCTAGGGAGATTTCACTTAATGCACTTGATTGAGAAGCAGTTTAATCAAGTTTCAAGATCAGAACTTTAGAAGCAATCTCATTGTCTACTGGATTAATATAAAAACAAAGATTATAATGAGCAATTTATGGGTTGACTATAGGTAGTCCTCGAGTTACGAGTATAATGGAGCTTGCCCATTCCACTTGTAACTTGAAAACTTGGAATGAATCTCGTACCTCAAATGAGGTAACTCCCTTGGTTGTTAAGATGCACGCGGCTCATTGAGGTATCTCAGGGTGGGGAAGGCCATGGATGGCCTAGTGATGGAACAGGCCCCCAAGGCCTCCCCAACCCACTAATATACTTCATGCTTCCCCCTCCCTTCCTGCCGCACCAGACTCACGTTTAAAAGATCCGTCTCCTCTCTGCCACAGTTCCTGCTGCCACCGGGATCTGAGGCCAGGGGACACTTCTGCATGCCTCTGGAGGCTGAATTGGGGCATTAGAGGCGTTTTCCAGGCCACTGCTGCCTGGATCTGAGGTTGGGGGATGCTTCCGTGGCCCTCCAGTGGCCCAACCTGGGCACCAGAGGCCTTCTCCAGGCTGCTGCTGCCCGGATCTGAGGCTAGGGGACATTTCTGTGGCCCTCCAACAGCCAGTTTCCTTGCATGAGTGGGGCCGCAAATACCCATGATGCCTGTGCAAGTGATCTGTGAATGCCCATGATGCTCATGATGATGCTTGCACGAGATGGCTGTGTGCGTGTGCACACATGTGCACTGACCAGCCACTCACACGGCCCGGTGACCAATAGCTGCAGTCCACAGGTTGGAGACCCCTGTTCTAATGGGTAGTATACTGGCAAGATAAAATCATGAATTGGAAGTTATAGCCTGTGGTTGTTCCTGTGTTACATCTCTAAAAGAATTTAGAGATGTTTAAACTTTCTGAATTCTATACGTACTAATTGGATGACATTATTCAATTGCCTTGCTATCTATTTGCAGATGAACTAAAAGGTTATGGACCAATTTTTGAAGAGCAGCCCATTGATACGGTATATCCAGAAGAGTCTCCAGATGCAAAAGTGTCGATGAACTGCAGAGCCAGAGGAATCCCTACACCTACTTACAAGTAACTTGGGTTACTCTCTTAATGTTATATTAATAATATTAATTGTACTAATTCAGTTTAGATCTGAGATTTGGTCCAAAAATGCACCAGTGGTGGATAACCCTAGCAAGTTTGGAAAAGTCAGTTTACTAACAACTGCTGAAAACTTAATGATTTAATTCCAAAGTTTTGTTACTTTTTCAGAAAAGACAGTTTAATTCACAGCCACCTATATTGTTGCTACATGAGTAGCAATGCAAAGTAGCATGCAAAGTCAATTGGGAAGTTTGTAGGAAGTCATAAGTCATGATAATGATCATGTGAGAATCACACTTAATAATCCACACAATCTTCACTTAACTAAAAGTAATTGGGGACTGCCATAACTGCAGTTGCTAACTCACATGGTCAGATATCATGCTTTATGACTGCTTCATTTAGCAATGGAAGGTGCCAATTATTATTACTGAGGCCTACCTGTATATTATTTTTTAGAAAATAAAAGTATACTATAAAAATGAATAAAAAACAAGTGGTAAGAGATGAGCAGTGCAGAAATCAATCTGCCCTGGTACAACTGTTATCTTTCTCCTTTTTTAATATTTATAAATAACAGCACAGTAGAAATCATAGTACTAAGTATTAAGCTCAAAGATTAAAATCTTTTTCAAATGATGAAATAATTCAGTTGCATTTTGCTTCTATTTATCCATATGTCAGATCCACCAGCTTTGGCTTGGCACCTTGCTGGTGTTCTGCCATCAATCAGAGAAGGGAGGAGGAACAAATGGGCCATACAGCTGTATACCTGTATTATGGGAAATTTGGAGGGGGGAATTGGCAGTTGAGGAAGAACAGAGAGTTTTGGAATCCAAAACTGGCATACTAGCATCTTTAAGGCCATTTGCTCTGAGAGTAGAATTTTACCAACCCAAATGCCTCAACATTTTCCGAAACATTTTCATGGTGCCAGATTGGCCAGACACAGACAGACCACGGAGGGAAGGCTAGGAGGAACCAGGGGTTTAGTTCTGTACTGGTGCACGGGAATTTTAGATTCCACTTGACTTTATTGCAATCAGCATCTCTTAGTAAAAATGCCTTTTCATTTCAACCAAATGGAGTTGAGAATTTTACTTTTCTAAGGGATCAGACTGGGGCAGGTCTGATATTAAGCAGAATCTGAAATTGTGGTCAACCCAGAAAGGCCATTGTCTGTACTATGGGGACCATGCATGCAATGTCAGCTCAAGGGAGTGACCAGGAAGAAATTGAATGCTGGGGAGAGCCTTCATCCAGGCCCCCGCACAAGCTGAATCTCTCCAAATGGACTAGAGACAGAGAGAGCTGCAGTGACCCACCAAGACCCAGATGGTCCCTAGGTGTTCAAAAGAAGGAGGACTGGGAAGAGAAGCCAGTGGAGGTGACTTACTTGTGGAAGCCGCGGTAGTTGCTGATGGGAATAGAGAATGGAGCTGAAAAAACTGGAGGAGGAGGAGGAGGAGGAGATGGAGAGCATGGCCAGGGAGGGAGCAAGCCATCAAGTTTATGCAGGTGTGTGTGTGTTGAAAAACCTAAAGGCGCACAACGCCCTCAACCTCATCTCGCAGCCAATCAGCCACATCCATCCTCAGTGAACAATGGGGCAAATGCATCCACTGTAGCAGGCAAGCTGGAAGCTGAATCTGCAGCTCCAGGAGCCTCTGCAGCCCCAGCACCTGGAGGGACGGCCCAGTGTGGGGGCCCTGCAGGACTAGCTCCAGCAAGGAAAAGGAGCTGCAAGACCCCACTACTGGGCATGAAATTTGATGGTGGTCCTCAGCAAATGGGGGATTTCCTGGCCCGGATTTGGACCTATATGCAAGAGTAAGGTCCCAAAATAGCAAAGAGGGTGGCAAGGCGAGATGTGTCACCATGGCCCTGGAAGGGGCTGCAGGAAGGTGGATAGTCACCCTCCATAATGATGATACCATGGAGCTGAGGACCTTCAACTGTTTCATGACAACATTTTGAAAATATTTCGAAGACCCCCTTGCTGATCAGGGACTGCATCAAAACTATCAGCCAGGGCTGCAGGAATATGGCTGAGTACACCCAGGAGTTCTGCAATACTGACTCTGATGATGACCCCCTGATAAGTATCCCAATCAGCCCAGTGACAGTCCCCGTTGAAGTGATAGTCCAATCTTTGGGACGTAAAGTCAGCCTGATGGCCCTTCTGGACTCAGGATGCACCAGGTGTTTGGTCAACCTTGTCCTAGTGGAGAAACTGGAGGTAAGACTTAGACCACTCAAAGTTCTGGTGGTATTCTGCCAGTTAGATGGCTCCATAGCAGGGGAGATCCCAGCAATGTTCATCACTGAGCCGATAGAAATGTGGATGGGGGCACACACAGAGACTCTGAGTTTTATTGTGGCCCCAGGCATGGAGAGACATTTGGTGTGGCTACGGAAATGGAACCCCTATGTGAACTGGAGGAGGGAGCTGTTAAAAATCTGGCAGGCTGAAGCTAAAATGAAACCAGAAAGAACTTAGAGATCCCAAACCCAAGGCAAGAGGTAGGGGCTGCAATGCATGAGTAGAAGGCCGATTTCTGAATTCCCCCAAAGTACTGGGACTTGCGGGATGTGTTTAGTGAGAAGGATTCAGATGAACTCCCACCCCACCAGCCAACAGACTGCTTCATAGAGATCCTGCCAGGGTTAAACTACTCAAACCCAAATTGTACTCAATGACCCCTAGGGAACTTGAGGAACTACATCTTTTTATGGAAGAAAACCTAAAGCAGGGATTTATTCAGCTGGCTCGACTAAGAGTGGCCACCCTAGGGCTATTCCGTGAGAAAAAGGATGGGTTCCTATGTCTATGCACAGAGGGCTAAATGCTGTGTGTGTGGAAAATGTCTACCCACCTGCCCCACACTCATGCACCTCGGGGCCCTGCAGCCCACCCACCCCCTCCTGCTGCCTGCCTCAGCTTGCCTCGCCTCATCCCGTGGCGGCAACACGACCAGCAGCAGTGTCATCCAGGAGGATCCACGCGGCCACTCCACTCTCCTCAAGAAGCCCGTCAGCCTGGAGGGGAAGTCACTGCCACCACTGTCAGTCAGGTGAAGCAGCCACCTTGGAGCAGTGCTTGTGAGCCTCACCCTCCCCCACGCCAGCCCGCCAGCCCACCCCGCACCATCATGAGCAACTTAGCCAAGGGGAGTGAGAACAGCAGCAGCAGCCTCGAGGAGGTACGGACCCTTTTTGTGAGTGGCCTTCTGGTGGACATGAAGCCGCGGGAGCTGTACTTCCTTTTCCGGCATTTTAAGGGTTATGATCAAACTAACAACCAAATAGCCAGCAGGCTTTGTTACTTCCAACAACTGTTCTGGTGCAGAAGCTGCAAAGAATGCTTTGAATGGGATCTGCTTTGACCTAGAGAATCCCCAGAAGCTGCGGTTAGAGTTTGCTAAGGCCAACACCAAGATGGCAAAAAGCAAGCTAATAGCCACACAAACCTCACCAACCTCCACCCTGCCGTAGGTGCACACTTCATTGCATGAGATCCTTATGATTTGTCTCCAGAAGCACTGGCTCCCTATCCCCTGTATACCACAGAGCTAACCCCAGCCATTCCATATGCAGCTTTCACCTATCCAGCTGCCGCCGCTGCACACTCAGATGTGAAGTCAACAAGGATGGAAGTCCCGTCTGTTCTGTTAGTTTTAAGATGATTTTGGCCCACATTTTCCCCTCTTGTCTCTCCATGGACTGATGCATGAAGGATGAAGGAGTCTTTGGCAGCCTCCTCTCTCGGCCTTTTCCCTGGACACCATCAAAGTGCCCAACTTCACTTGGCCGTCTTATGAATGAAGCTATGGATTTCCCCCTCCAAAACTGTGAACGTCATCTCCTCCATCTCTTCCCATTACCCATTGCTACTAATGAAAGATATGCTAGCCCAAAGGGAAGATTTTTACTAAGTTGGACTTGCGATAAGCCTTACTACCAAGTTTGGATCAAGGAGGGAGATGAATGGAGAACAGTTTTTAACTGCTCCTTAAGGTATTTTCAATTCAGGTTCTTCCCCTTTGGACTAAAGGGCCCCCTGCTGTCTTCATGCAGCTGTTAAATAAGGTGCTGCATGAGCACTTCTACAAAGGGATGCTGATCTACCTGGTTGACATACTGATTCATACTGAGATGATGACGGAGCATGTGAAACTGTTTTGAGTGGTGCTTTAAAAACTTAGGGCTGTTCAATTATATGCTAAACTTTCAAAATGTGAGATCCACCAGAGTAAAAAGAAAGAAATATTAGTACAACATACCCCCAAAAATACTGAAAAAGACTAGAAACAAAAATTAAAATAAGCAAGAAAATGGTAAGAGAACACCTATCCAATCTGACAAATATAAATCACCTGGACATGACAGATTACATCCCAGAGTTCTGAAGGAGCTGGCAGATATTATCTCAGAACCATTGCACCACATCTTTCATAAATCCTGGAGCACCAGGGAAGTACCTGAGGATTGGAAAAGGATTGATGTGGTTCTCATCTTCAAGAAAGGGGGAAAAACAGACCCAGGAAACTACAGACCAATCAGTCTAACATCAATACCTGGGAAGGTCCTGGAAAATATAATAAAAAAACAGATCTGCGAACAATTATCTTCATCAATGACATAGTTGACGGAATAGGAACTCATCAAATTTGCAGATGACACCAAACTGTCAGGAGTAGCCAATACCCCAGAAGACAAACTCAGGATCCAAAAAGATCTTGATAAACTGGAACAATGGGCCATATCCAACAAAATTAATTTTAATGTGGAGAAAAGCAAAGTTTTACATTTAGACAGGAAAAATCAAAGATATAAGTACAGATTAGGTGAGACCTGGCTCAAAAACAGTAACTGTGAGAGGGACCTTGGAGTCCTAGTGGACGATCACTTGACTAAGCGCCAGCAATGTGCAGCAGCAGCCAAAAAAGCTAATACAATCCTGGACGCGGCCTGGGGGGAATGGGCAGGCGGTACCAATGGTTAGGAATTTATTTTAATTGAATTGTATTTTGTATGAATAAACGGAAAATAAAAACTTTTTATTAAAAAAAAATCCTGGGTTGTATAAACAGAGGCATAGAATCAAGATCGCACGAAGTATTAGTACTGCTTTGTAAAATTATAGTGAGACCACACCTGGAATACTGCAACCAATTTTGGTCACCATATTACAAAAAAGATGTTGAGACCTTAGAAAAAGTTCAGAGAAGAGCAGCTAAGATAATCAAAGGCCTGGAGAATAAAATATATGAAGAACAGCTGCGGGACTTGGGTTTGGCTAGTCTAAAGAAAAGAAGAAACAGAAGTGACATGATAGCAGTATTCCAGTATTTGAGAGGCTGCCACAAAGAAGAGAGGGTCAAATTATTCTCCAAAGCATCAGAGGGCAGGACAAGAAACAATGGTTGGAAACTGATCAAAAAGAGAAGCAACCTGGAATTAAGAAGAAAGTTCCTAACAGTGGAACAATTAACCAATGGAACAGCTTGCCTTCAGAAATGTATCCACCATCACTGGAGGTTTTAAAGAAAAGACTGGACAGTCACTTGTCTGAGATGGTATAGGTTCTCCTGCTTGAGCAGGAGGCTGGACTAGAAGACCTCCAAGGTCCCTTCCAGCTCTATTCTATTCTATTCTATTCTATTCTATTCTATTCTATTCTATTCTATTCTATTCTATTCTATTCTATTCTATTCTATTCTATTCTATTCTACAGTTCCAAACAGGAAATAGTCAGACTGGTTATTCCATCTCACCAGCTTGTGGTACCAGTAATCACCTGAGCATAGGCAAAAGGAAAACCCCAAATTGGGGAAGGCATAGCGGACACTCTAAAAGCAGCACTAGAAGGAGACAAGTGGTTCCAAGCTCACAAAAATGAATGCACAATGCAAGGAGGCCTAGCCTGGATGTGGACCAAGCTATAGGCTCCAGAAACCCAAAGATTACAAGTCCTGGAGAAAAGCCTGATTCAGACTGCAGGACATTTTGGTTTTATAAAACCGTTATGCCTGATTAAGTGCTAGTTCTTGTGGCCTTCACTTAAGAAAGACATTCAAAGTTATGTGGCCAGCTGTCCAATTTGTGCTTCAGCCAAGTGGCAAGGGAAAACACCAGGACTCTTCTATCCAGTGGCAGAGCCTTACACTCCCTGGAAGGAAATTTCTATGGACTTCATAGTACAACTACTGGAAAGCGCAGGAAACACCATAATCTGGATGATCACTAATATGTTCTCTAAACAAGTGCATTTCGTGCTCTGCCATACTATCCCTTCCATCCGTACCTTGGCTAAGTTCTTCATCCACCACTTCTATAGATTGCACGCCACTCTGCAATGGATAATTTCCATCTGTGGAGCACAATTCAGTTCCAAATTCTGGCAGGAGTTTTAAAAACTTCTTGGGACATCCCAAGGGCTTAGTTCCAGTCATCACCCAGAAATGAATGGAGTGTGTGAACATATGAATGGGGTTCTAGAACAATACCTGAGGTGTTAGATAAATTACCAACAGGACAATTGGACAGTCTTCCATTTCCTGAAGTATCCTACAATAACTAGGTTTACCCCTTTCAAGGTGACTATGGGACAGGACTTTGTACTCATGCCTGAGCTGCCCTTGGCCACCACCACCCCATTCTATGACTGGGTTGCCCAGCTACAGAATTCCTGGCCGGTTGTCAGAAAATCATTTGAGGAGGCAAAAGAAACTCACAAAAAGTGTGCAGACAAAAGAATGAACAAAACCCAAAGACTTTAAAATAGGAGACCGGGTCTACCTCTCTATTAAATATCCACAATCCAGACAGCCTTCCCAAAAATTGGGACCAAAGTATGTTGGCCTTTTCTCTGTCAAAAGAATCATCAATTGGGTCACAGTGGAGCTTGAACTGCTGAAATCCCTTAGACTCATTCACCCGATTTTTCATTGTAGTTTTCTAAAATCGCAAACTCAGTCCCTTCTGCATCCAATGCTGCCTCTGCCACCCAAACCACTCATGACTGAGGGGGAACAACATTTTGAAATGAAGGACATTTTAGACTCTCGTAAACACTGAGGAAAGCTTCAGTATCTAGTGGCATGGAAACACTTTCCTCCTGAGACTGAATGGAGACTTAAGCACATTAAAGCAGACAAACTTCTCAAGCTCCTCCTTTCCATAACTAATATCCTGATAAACCAAAATAGTTCCCTATTATAACCATATATCTACCTTGTTTTTTTCTCTCTCTTTGTTGTGTGTTTCCTTTTGTTTTGCAGGACTGACATCCTTGCCAAGGGGGGCAGCATGTCAGATCCACCATCGTTAGTTGGTCCTTGCTGGTGTTCTGCCATTAACTGGGGAAGGGAGGGGGAGCAAATGTGCCATAAAGCTGAATTACTTTATGATGGGAAATTGTGAGGTGGGATAGACAGTTGAGAGAGAACAGAGCGCTTTGGAATCCAGTTCATGCTGGCATCTTGAAGCCCGTTTGCCCTGAGAGTGGAATTTCACCCATCCAAACACCTCAGCATTTCCTAAAACATCTCGGCGGTGCCAGATTGGTTACACACAGATGGACCATGGGGGGGGGGCTAAGGGAAACCAGGGGTTTAGTTCTGTATTGAAGGATGGGAATTTTAAATTCCGCTTGACTTTACTGCAATTAGCATCTCTTAGTAAAAGTGCCTTTTCACTTCAAGCAAATGGAATTGAGAGTTTTACTCTCTAAGGGATCAGACTGGGGGAAGTCTGACACAAGATCATACTTAGCATTAATTATATATTTCAAGCAATCTTATGTTAATTAACATTTTAGGAATTATATTTAACCGCTATAGCTTTTGCCCTCATCTTTAAAAGTTTAACTTACCCAAAACATCATAGTGTTAATAATGTCTAATTTCTATTATAAAATATCACCATATTCTGCTATTATCTATATTCTACAGTACATTATTTGACTATTATAATGCAATCAAACATTAATTTGGGCAAAAACTTATTTTTCAGTGTTCACAGAGCATTCTAAAAATTGAACCAATATTATATTTATCTGTTGTATAGAGGAGATTATATGTAAAACAGATTAGATGCTCATCCTGGTGGCTAATATCTAAGAAACTACATTCTTAATTCATTTTCAGTAGGATCAAGTTGATGGTAGTATAATTGAATGAACTGTGAGAAACATTATTTTTATTAAATTCTATGTATCTCTGAAAAGCATTTAAATAATTATTTTCAATTCTATAACCATATTATTTAGGAATCCCTGTCATTCTGTAACTAGCACAATGGATTTATTTTGAGGGATCTGTAAATAACACCTAGGAATAGTAGTATGCAATAAGATCAGATTTGTATTGTCAATTCAGATCAATTCAGGTCTGATATCTAATTCAATTTAGAAAATTAGTTTGATGCTTTAACTAATAAAATTATGTCATTTGGAAACCCAGTTTGATATTTTTTTCCTGCATGCACGGAAGATCATCTAAATCAATGGTGGCGAACCTATGGCACGCATGCCAGAGGTGGCACTCAGAGCCCTCTCTGTGGGCACGCGTGCTGTTGCCCCAGCCCTGCCTCCCTCCATAGCCCCCATGGCAGATACTGCCATGGTGCTGCAAGGCTGCCTGGGTGATCTGTGGTGAGTGGCCCTGCGGGCAGGCGGAGCAAGGGGCGGGCCAGTTTTTGGGCACTTGGTCTCTAAAAGGTTCGCCATCACTGGTCTAAATTATCAAATTGGATTCAATTCAGACTGATTTAGAAACACAGTCAAATTCAAACTGAATTTCCAATTAAAACTTTGCGCTATTCAATGAAACAGAAACTGCCATAATCTCATTCTGTAGGGATAGATACCATGTTTTGGAGGCAATCTGTATTAAGGCAATTGAAGTGCTGACATAAGGTATTAATATTTTTTAAAAATAAATATTTTCCTTGAATAGGTGGCAACGTAACAACTGGGATGTTGATATTAAACTGACAAAAGAACATTATAGTATGGTAGGAGGTAACCTGGAAATCAATAATCCTGAGAAGTCAAGGGATGAAGGAACATATGTTTGCATAGCATACAATATACATGGAACTATTAGGAGCCGGGAAGCAACTTTAAACTTTGGATGTAAGTGGTTTTTACATGAACCTTTACCTTCACACAAACTCTTTGAAATGGTATTCAGTAGGTTGGTATGTTACTGATTTAGTTTAGTTTGACTTATTGTCATGATCCATGCTGATTGGAGCAGTATGAAAAAGACACCATCTCCAAACATAATCACTATTTTTTTTATTGTGATTAGAGTGAGAAAAGTGGGTGAATATGAATGGATTATTTTCTTCTAGATGAAAAATATTTGGGGACTTTTATTATATCTTTTAGATAAACCTATCTGCTTATATTTAATGATGAATTTTATCAGTGCTGGTCTGTTACATTACAGTTTATTAAAATAAACCTTGTGCTTCCATAAAATAGTAGATGCCAAAATAACAGTATTTTTGCAACTTGACTTCAATATAATAAAAAACATCTTATTTCAGTTTTTTACTAAAACTGAAAAACTTCCCAAACAATATTGCTTTAGGATCATTGTCACAACTTTCTAGTGCAAAGTTACCCTGCCAATAATTTGTGGAAAACATGTCTTCATGATATATCCCTGCTTTCTTACCAGCCTATTGATAAGATGGTATGATATTACCTTTAGATATTTTAGCCTCAAAGCATGGTTTTGTTTGCATCCACAAAAGTAGATCTCCTATGAAGTCATATTAGTGCTCCTGATATTGGAATTCAACTTTGCATGTATGGATCTGAAGCTGTGAATTTGTTAACTGTGAGGAGTAATAGGTTACAGTTAGCAGAGAGACTTGCACTTTTATCTGCCTTTTTTGTTTAAAAGAAGTGCTTTGTATGTTTCTTTGTAGCATTCTTCCTATTGGAGTAGCAGGTGTGGAAGTTCTTTATTTATTTCAGCATTATTGAATTATGTGATTCCCAGCATTTGTGGAAAGTAGCTTTTTTTTAACAGCGAAGTCTCCCAGTTACGAACTATTTCTCTGCATTATTGAGTGAAGGCAGCAATACTGTTGGCCTTGTTACTGAAACAAGGCAAAAAAAATGATTCTGTGTGTGCATGATTTCTTTTTTAGTGACATACTTTTCTTCAGTTCAAAGAGGAAAGCATATTACCAGTGCTGTGTAAATGAGGCTGTAAGGACCTACCTCAGCTAAGTCATCCGAGAAAGCAGAACTCTTGAAACAGGCATTGTCTCAAAAGGAACTTTTATTAAGGCTAATGATAGCAGGGAATCAAGGCAAGATCGGAGAGAAAAACCATGAAGCTATATATTTTAAAAGCAACATTCAATACTCCTTCCCCCAAGGTCCCAGTGTTCATTTGAATCCCAGCCAATCCACAGGTGACATCGTGTTTTGGTAACTGGTCTTTTTGGCGGGCTCCTCAAGGTCTTTCTCACTTTTGATTTCTTCTGGCTCCAAGCGCAAACTGTCTCTTAGATAAGGAAGAGACATTCTATCCCTGGGGGAAGGGCATTTTAGCAGAAAAAAATGGAAACAACCCATGGGGCAATTAAACACAGTGTTCCATTCATCCCCCTCCAGTATTCTTTGCAGTAATATTTTCTCCAGCTTGGAGAAAAAAATTCCTTTTGACAGGTGTGCTAACATGTCCTTCATAAGGGGGAGGTTTTCTATGCACACAGCGTTCAGCCCTCTATCATCTATGCAGAGATGAAGTGACCCATCCTTCTTTTCGTTGACTAGCACAGGGGCTACCACCCATGGTTTTGCAGGCTGGATGAAACCCCATGCTAAGTTCTTTTCAATGAACTTATGAAGTTCATTCAGTTCTTATGGGGTCATGGAGTACATCTTCGGCTTTGGAAGTTTCACCCCTGAGATAATTTCAGTCTGTGGGTTGGTGGGGCAGAAGCCACAACAAATGCTAAAGTCTCCGAGTGGTCTCCCATAGAAATATGCAATGGTCTGGTAGCAAAACTGGCAGGGATTCCCCCTCAATGGACCAATCGAGTTGGCAGAAATTTATTGGGGTCTTTAGCCTCCTGAGCAGTATTCTCATTCTCCCCACCAGCTCCCCACCAGCTCTGACTAATGTTACTTTCTTCTTGGCACCTGGTATGAACAGTTCTAGGGGCACAGTTATGGGATCAATTGGGCCACTTATCAAGTGGTCATTCTCATAGTCAGCTGCCTCGGAATCATAGTTGGCAGGAGCCAGAACTCGACCCTCAACCTACGAGCTCAGGGGATTTCCACCGTCTCCTCGACTGCCAACACCAGCTCTATGGGGTGCGGTGTCATTTCTGTAGGTCTGCCAGTGGATTGCCGGTCTCCTCTCTTGGCTGGTACCTTGCTACGACAGTCAACTGCTTGGTGCTCCTCTTTCCTGCAGTTAAAGCATGCAATAGAGCAGGGTGTGGTTGGTGATGGTCGGGCCATCTCAACTCTCTTGGCTTGAAGGTGGGTTTCACAGGGTGGATCTATTTCCACCTCTTCTGCTAAGAGGCACCAAGTATACAATTGCCCTGGGGCCCCATGGGCCACACAGGCATTGTACAGGTCTGCATTTAGGCCATCCTGGAAGCAACTCACCAGGATGTCCTCTGGTCAGTTTAATCGGCTGGCCAACTCCCAGAATTCCTCAGTGTACTCAGTTACTGGTCGTCGCCCTTGCTTCACCATTTTCATGCGCTCGTGAGCTTTTTTGTCTGCCAGATGGTCTTTGAAACGATGTCGGAGGGCTGCCATGAACCGGTTGAAATTTCTCAGCTCCAGAGCATTGCAGTTGTAGAGGGTCACCATCCAATCCGCCACTGCGTCTTCCAGTGCTAGACTTTCTCCTCATCTGTAGGCAGTGTTCTTCCATATATCTGCACGTATGTGAATATTTGGGCTAGGAAGAATCCCAACCTTTTGGGTTTCCCATCAAATTTCACCCCCAACAGAATTGGCTTCAGCTTTGCTGGTTGGGGTATGGCTCCTATGGGTCTCCTCAGGCACTATTAGCTCTTCCTCACCTGCTTCCTTCTCTGCTTCTTCCTCCAATTCCTATTGCTCTTTCAGCTGGCCTTTCAGCTCCTTGAATGACTCTCACACGTATTCCATGGTATGCTTTAAGATAGCTTTCATCGTCTCTGAATTTGGGTCCACCAGTCCCTTTTTGGGGGGAGCAGGCTCTGGTGCTTTCTTCTTTATCTTCTTCTTTCCTCCACCATGCATGAGAGTTACTTTTGGAGCCTTCCCTTCCCAGTCCTATTTCTTTCCGACCCCGAGTAACCACCTGGTCTCTTTCTGCCAAGGGTTCAACCACTCCTAGGTCCCTGGAAGTTCGTTCCCTGGGGTCTGCTAGGATGATATCTCCAGCTCTCTATTTGACCCACTTCCATGTTGCCAGTAGGAAGGGACATGTTGGTTGCGACCCACCTTGATAGGGCAGCTGGCTCTCCAGTTTGGGCACTATGCAGATCTCGCCTTATATAAGGACCTACCTTAGCTAAGCCACCCGAAAAAACAGAACTCTTGAAACAGGCATTGTCTCAAAAGGAACTTTTATTAGGGGCTAGTGATAGCAAGGAATCAAGGTGAGATTTGAGAGAAAAACCCAGAAAGCAATATATTAAAAGCAACATTCATGCATGAGAGTTAAGCAGTCTTTTCCGTGGGCTCCTCAAGGTCTTTCTCACTTTCAATTTCTTCTGGCTCCAAGTGCAAACTGTCTCTTAGATAAGGAAGAGACATTCCATACCCTGTGGGAAGGGCATTTTAACAGACAGCGGAAAGCATTCCCCAAAGCTCCCCCTTCCCAATGTTGAAGACATTAACAGTGTTCATGCACTATAGTAAAAATTTAAAAGAAAAGAATTTAGAATTTATTTATATTGAAAGGTTATTATTTTCCCTGTAGAATAAATGCAACATTTTGTTTATGGTGAATGAATCCAGAGATGGGTATAATCCTTATGACTACTATTAATACTAAAGTCATAGTTATTTAAGAGACTTTGCTATAAATTAAAATGAATTGAATATTTCAAATTTAATTACCTATACATGTGCACATGTGACCATCTCAGGTTTTTGCAACCTCTATTTCTTGCAAAAGCAATCTCACTCTAATCTTATTCCTGGAAACTGAAGAAAAAGCCAAGAAATATAGTTGCAGCCTTTTCTTTTAGAAGATTTTTTATTTGTTTGTTTGTTTAGTTCAGTGAATAGAGATAAAAAGACAAGAGCTTTCAAAGACTGATTGTAAATTAATAAAATGGAAAACATTTTCAAGGCAGGCTTGATTCCTCATGATTGCATGGGTATAGCCACACAATTCTCTGGGAAGCATATGTGAGTGGCTTGTTGTTGCCTTTTTCCAGAATTTTATTTTCTTTTTAATTTTCCCATTTAGTCTGTAGCCCTGATTATCTCACAAATATTAAGCAAATCCAAATTTCTTGACTTCTAAACAATACCTTAGCAAACTTTAAATTCTAGCAGTGGTGGCTAAATAGAGTAAAGTCTCAAATAATTGTTGGATATATGTTAAAATAGTTTGGCGTTTAGTATAATCTTATAGATTATCTTCATCCATCTTTTAATTTCTGGTCTTTCATGAACTGTTCCTTTCCAGATAAGCCAGTAAAGTTCTATTGGAGTCTTAAATTCACCTTAATCTTATTTTCTGCCCACCTTTTATTGACTCTTGAATTTAAGATTATAATAATACACAAATCAATACTAGGCTATTGAATTGTCAGCCTTGCAATTTTATCCATGTTCCAATATTGTATCTTGAAACTGGCTGTTCATCTGGTCAGTAACGTAAGTGCTGATCCCTATAAAACAATTCCCTAAATAGATATCTAGATTGTTTTTACAGCCCTATATACAGTACATTGAGACATTACTCTCTATGTTTGTAAAATGTTTGTTTCCATTATTAGCAAGCATTCTCCAGCTTGATCTCAAAAAATAAACATGAGGTCACAAACACTCCCTACAATATAAAGGCATCAACTTCTGTTATTATCTTGCATAGATTTATATCCTTTTCCTCCGGAAGAGAGACATGCAGTAAAAGTACGAGAAGGTATAGGTGCTGTTCTTCTCTGTGATCCTCCACCTCATTATCCAGGTAATTAAATTTATATATTTCAGTTTCAATTGAAACAATGAAATAGGAATTAATATAATTAGAATACTATTAATGTTGACTGTGACTAGGTTGCTTAAGCCTCTTGAGCCTTATAAAAAAAGGAATTGTTCCTGTTTGACATGTGAAAATAAAATTCCTTACAGTATGGTTGTCTTCCTTCAGATTATAAAGATTATAAAGTAATTGAATCTATTTACTATTATAAGGTTTGATTGTTCAAAGTTGAAAACCATTAAAAACTTTCAGAGAATTACTATACCTATTTTACAAATGGAAATCCGTTTTTTCAGGTATTTATTTAATCTATTTTGTACTGTTCCCTAGCCTAAGCCTACAGTATGCATAAATATAGGTTACATGTCATATTTTTAAAAACTTGACTTTAAAAAGTGTGGATTTACACACCCACTTGCTGACATATGCAGCATGGAGTGATGAGTAAAGTAAGAAAAGTTGTTCCAAAGTTCTAACAGCTGCCCCCACCCTTGCAGTCATATGATCTCATTTGGGCACTCAGTAACCAGCCTGCATTTGTGGCCGTTTGCAATGTCCCATGATCATGAGACTGCTTTTTACAACATTTTTGCTGAAAGCTGGCATTTACTTTTTTTTTTTTTTCAAAAATGGCCCATTGCGAATAATGGATTCACTTAACAACCACAGTATTTGAATAATGCAATAAAGGTAGTAAAGGTCATCTGTTTTGTGACCATTACGACTTATGATCGTATTGGGCAGACTCCATTACGGTTGTAAATTGAGGACTATCTGTATAACCAAGAGCACTGATATTCACTGGTAATCCCTCATCCAAGACTAACCAGTGCTTATCTCACTTAGCTTCCAAGAATGAACAAAATTAGCTAGGTATTACCATATTCTTTAAGTGTCATCTCTATAATAAATTTAAATATATTTTTCTATCTCCAGATGATCTAAGTTATCGATGGTTTCTGAATGACTTCCCAGAATTCATTACTTTGGATAAACGGCGATATGTGTCACAAACAAATGGTAATCTTTACATTGCCAAAGTTGAACCTAGTGATAAAGGCAACTATTCATGCTGTGTGACCAGTAATTCAATTACTAAGAGTGTATTCAGCAGTTTCATTCCACTTATTCCTCAAGCAGATCGTAAGTATTCCTCTAAAGTCTTATGTTTGTCAGATTTTTTTCTTAAATAATATCTCCTTTCCTTTTGTACATTTTATCCACTTCAGTGAAACAGTATATGAAAGAAATGTTTGGTTTAGATTCTCTTTTCAGCTTGTTTTCTATTTCTTAATTTCAGATTTTAGATCTTATTTCATGAATTCAACTGTTTTGTTTTTGTTACCCAAAATACTCTCTCTCTCTCTCTCTCTCTCTCTCTCTCTCTCTCTCTCTGTGTGTGTGTGTGTGTGTGTGTGTGTGTGTGTGTGTGTGTGTGTGTATGTGTGAAACAGTGGGAGAGACACATAGAGAGAGAACACAATAATTGTAAATAATCAGGGAGCCGAGTTTGACTGTGGCATACCTTCAAATTTAACTTAATTTGTTTGACTGAATAATGTGTGTCTCAGAAATGTATGATATAAACCATGTAAACTATAAAAATAGAACTATATAAAAGGATACCAACAAAGATTGCTTTTTCCATGTTTGGAAAATCAAATATGAGTATGTTTACATTTTTGACATGTGAAAGATAGGAATACCGGGAGCAATATAATAGTTAATTTTCTCAAAACATTTTTGGTTACCTGGTAAGAAATAGATTATGTAAATGTTAAATGAAATATTGGGATTTGGTCAATTTTAAAGATTTTCCTATTCTGTTCTGGTTAAATCTTTCAACTTGCACATTTATACAAGTCTATCAAGAAAGCAGTTAGAAGACTTCCGGTGGATCTGCGCGCGCGCGATGGCGGCTACTTTGTAGCCGTCCTCCTGGGAAAGCGTTAGAACCGCTATGAACAGCAGACATCAGCTGTTCTGCGGTTCAAAACCTCCTTCCCGGGCAAAGGGAGGGAGGAGAGTATCATCTGAATAGTGGTAGAGCCTCTGATGCACCCCCAAGGTTTTCTTTTGGGGGGTGAAAAGAGTGTTCCCACGGAGTTCAGATTGTCTCCGCTTCCCAGCTGTTTTTGTCTCTAGGGACAAAACAAGCCGCTGCAACCACCTCCGCGATTAAAGTGATCGGGTGAGTTTTTTTAAAAGAGCGGACAGAGCTGAATAGAGGATTTTGTTTTTTCCGATCTTATTTGGATTTTAAATTTAAAGATTTACTTTTACTCCCTCTTTTTGTTTTTTCTTTTTGTTGAAAGGGAAAGTAAAATGGCGATCGGCAGGTTTTTTGGTGTTTTTTTTTAAAATGACTGGAACGGAATGGAACGGATTTGATTATTTATAATGATTTTTTGATGTTGGGTTTGGATTTTAGGAGGATTATTCTCCCTTTTTGTTTAACTTTTTTATTTTTTGAAGGATTTTTTTTTGTTTTTTGTACTTTTAAAAAATAACGGAATGGATTTTTTCTATTTAATTATTCTTTTTCTCTTTCCTTTTCCTTCTTTTTCTTAACTTTTTTCTTCTTATTATAATGATCTCCTTTTGAAGGAGTTTTTGATTTTTTGGAGTTAATCTCCCTTTTTTTTCTTTTTTTTTGATTAACTTTTTTTTTCCTCCCTTCCTATTTTTTAAGAAGGAGTAAAGATTTTCTAAGATGGCTCCAAAGCGTCCAGTAATTCCCACAGCTCCTAAGGTGGTTTCTTCTTCAGTGATATCATCAGTGCAACAATCTAAATCAATAGTTTCACCCTCTCCTTTGGCACAGTTATTAATGGTAAAGGATTTGCAAGACATAATGGGAAATGCTATATCTCAAATCAGGGGAGAAGTGAAAGAGATTTTAGCGGAAAATAATAGGATTCTGAGGCAAGATATAGTTTTGGCTTTAAAAGGATTTGCCTCTGTTCTTGAAAAGTTAAACTTTCGTGTAGAAGAGGTTGCAGACAAAGTGGAGCTGTTGGAGGGAAAATTTGAAGGTATGGAGAAAGAGATGGAAAATTCTCAAGATGAGATTCTTATGCTTCAATATAGAGAAATGGAATATGCTTTAAGAATTAGAGGCTTGAGAGAGTATCTGCAAGGAGATCTGAGAGAGATGGTTGCAAATGACTTTGCTGTGATTCTGGACAGAGAAAAAGAGGAAATATTTAGTGAAGTTGAAAAAATATTTAGAGTTAACTCTGTGGTGGCAAAGCAAAGAAATCTGCCAAGAGATGTGGTAATTTATTTTGGGAAAAGATCCCTGCGCAATAAAATTATACAAGCTTTTTACAATAAGAGGTTTCAGATTGCTTCACAAGACGTTATAATTTTAAAGGAGATCCCATCTAAAATTTTAAGAAGAAGAAAGGAGTTTGCTTTTTTAGCAGATGAACTTAAAAAGAGGCAAATGTTGTTCAGATGGGATGTCCCGACTGGAATGGTGGTGAATTATCTGGGGACACGTTATAGACTTAATACTGTTTTCAAAGCAAAAGAGTTTTATACTTCGGTCCTGGAGGTATGTTCATCGCCACCTATCATGTTTAAAGTTTTGGAAGAGAAGAAGGCAGAATTGCAGTCTGAAGAGCCTATATTGATGAAAACTGAGAAATTTCAGACTGAGGGGCCTCAACAAGTTGAGATGAAGGAGCAGAGGATAACTCGTGTAACACATAAACGCAAAGAAAAGGAGCAACAGAAGAAGGAGGTTAAGGAAGCCTCACAAGTATTTGTTTCTGAGTCTGCGGGAGAAGCAAGATCCATAAACTTTTTGGAGCAACCTTTAAGGGCAGATTTCCAAGCACTTCTCTTGAGGTTTTTGGATAAGAGAGATTGATAAAGAATGTATAGATTGTTTTCAGGTTACTGATAGATTACAGTTCACTGTGGATGGAATTGGTTATTGGTAAAGAGGAGAGAAGATTATGGAGATCGAATGAAAATTTTAGATAAGAAGTTTAAGTTTAGTAATTTAAGGAGTATTCAAAAGAATATTTTGTTTTAATGGTATAACTAACCTTTATATGTTTATTTTTGTGTTTGAGGATAAAGAAAGAGGGATAGATTAGATTTTATATAATATAAGTATGATAGTATGGAGATTGAATGAAAATTTTAGATAGGTAGTGCATGTTTAGATATCTAAGGAGCATTTAAAGGAATATTTTGTTTTAAATATGTATAAGGGAATTTCAATGTTATAAGTAATGTTTATATGTGTGTTTTTGAGGGTGTTTATAAAGAATGATGGATAAACTTTAAATAATATAAGTATGATATTAGAAAATGTTTAGTTTTTTTCTGAATAATTTACACTTAAAGCTCATAAAATTTTAAGGGTGGTTTAATTTTCTTATTAAATTTTTTGGGGGGGGTTCTTTTTCTTTTTTTTCTTTTAATTTTTTATTATTATTATTATTATTATTTTCTTAGTTTTATATTGGTGTTAGAGTATTTTATAATTTGTCTAATGATTGTAATCCTAATTTTTTCTGCTTTTTATATATTGGTCTTAAAGTATATTATAATTTGTTTAATTATTGTAATTAATTGTTTACGGTGTACATGTGTTTAAATTTTTTTCTTTTAAGTTTTAACTAAGCCTGTATTCAGCTCTGGGAAGGTTGGGGGAGGGGTGGGGGGGTTGGGAGGGTTTGGGGAGGGGAATCTCTTTTTTTGTAAAATTTTAAAAATTTTCAATTAAAAAAAAAAGAAAGCAGTTAGAATTTATGTAATCTCTTAGCCTCCAGTGTTGTCCCAGGTGTGGTAATGACATTTTATAACGAGTTAAATCCATTTTTAACTGATAGTAGAATAAGTGTATGTGATCCTTTCTTCCTGCTTCCTACAATTATTTCATTTTAGAAATGCATTTCTGTTCACACTCTCTCCAAGTTTTTTTTAAAGGAAATAATATTTTCAAATATTATATGTGCTAAGTATTCATTTTCTAGCAAATTATTTATTTTATTACTTTTTCTTATTAGGATCAAAAGGCTATGTGCCAGATATCAGAGTGAAGTTCAAAGATACATATGCACTTTTAGGACAAAATGTGACGCTAGAATGTTTTGCACTTGGAAAGTACGTATGCTTGAATTTAGTGATATACATGGCAAAATGTGGTCTATTTTGGCAAGAAATGATTAGCTTTATTCTGCTATCAGAAGTAATCCCAAAACATGAATTTGAAAGAGTTCTCAGTGCTTCCTATCACTCATTCTTTGCACTTAAGTCAGCTTTATATATAAACTTAACATGTTTCTCCTTCATGCATATGGCTACCAATGTGGTATGGCTTAGCATTACAGCTACAAAAAAGCATCGAAAGTGACAATGAAATTGCCCTTAGTGAAAACTAGCCAAACATTCCCCAGTTTATTATCCAGTTATTATGAATTCAATTTATTTTGTGATTCAGGTTCTTGTAGAAGAATATCATTAAAACAACATTGTAAAACCTGCTTACTTGACAAAGGGAAATATTGTTTTAATATATCATTAATAAAACAACAGCTAAGTGAAATTTCAGCTTAGGAAACTCTCTCTTGTAATTATGAAACATGAAGAGGAAAGCAGAAGCTGAAGTGACCTAATAAATGAAAGATCCAACAGCTAATCAAAGCTGAATTAAAATATGCTCTGTTTTCTTTAAGCCCTGTTCCTGAGCTTAGATGGAGTAAATATCTTGAACCAATGCCAAGCAGTGCAGATATAAGCATGTCTGGTGCAGTCCTAAAGATCTTCAATATTCAGTTTGAAGATGAAGGAATATATGAATGTGAAGCTGAAAATTACAGAGGAAAAGATAAACATTCAGCAAAAGTGTATGTTCAAGGTAAGTAGAATTTCTTCATGCATTTCATTACTGAAAAATATATTTATACATATTTATCCCATATCATTTTAGAGGGTTGGTTTTTCAAAATTTCATAAATTAATGCAACATTTTGCACTGTGACACAATTCAGAATCACATTCAGATCAATTAACTAAAGGTAGAATGAGCAATAAACAGCAAAAAACAGAGAATGAGATGGCTGGATGGAGTCACTTAAACAGTAGGTGTGAACTTAAATGGACTCCAGAAGATGGTAGAGGACAGGAAGACCTGGAGGAACGTTGTCCATGGGGTCGCGATGGGTCGGACACGACTTTGCAATTAACAACAATAAAGAATGTGCAATAAATTGAACGAGCAAACATTATCCCAATTTTTAATTAGCCACATGTGACTTAAGCATTCATTTGGGTTTACTTCTAATGGCAAGTATAAAAAAATTAATTCTTTATGCTAGTATAGAACATACAGTGAGATTTATTTCTACTCTGTTCTTAATCTGTTACTGACTTACGCTTTTTCTGTTTCTTGCATATTCATTTATTAAAAACAATTTATCCTATTTCTGTATTAATCTTCACTTTAAAAAAATTCATAGACTATATAAATATATGCATTTTGAAAACATTTTCTCCCAAAATATAGTGTCTCAAAATACTCAGCATGCTTTACTGTATCATATTAATTTAGCATTTTTAAAAATACTTTGGAGAAAAAAATGCATTATGAAATACAAAGAAGAGGGGGGAAAAAAAGAATAGGTACCAATCAGCATGTGCCAAAGATAGTTTTTTTCAAAAGGGAATTGGATTTACGTGTTTTTCTTTGAAGACATTTTGCTTCTCATCCAAGAAACTCCTTCAGCTCTGACTGGATGGTGGGGAATGGAAGGATTTATATTCTTTGCAGACAGTTGGCCATTTGCATTTGCATTTTTTTAGAGAGTCGTTGAGGCCACTTGGTGGTTTATCTGTGTTCTCAGGGTCACCTGAGTCATTGAGAAGTTGGAGCTGTGCTTTCTGCAGGATGTTTCTGCCCTGTGTCCCTTCACTGTTGAACACAGGCACAGGTTGTCTGTATTGTCTGCATCTCAAATGGAAGCAACAAATGGTTCCTGTAGTCTGCAATTTTTCTGGAAATCCATTCATATTTCTGCATCATTCGGAGGGTGTTCATCCCAAAGTGCATAGCTAATGTCTATGGAGATTCTTAGTCATCCAGTTGCCTCTTGAAAAAAGCACCTTTGGGACAGCTATGACCTGGATGACTGAGAATCTCCAACAATACCAATCAGCATATTACAGCACATCTCTTTAATGTAGAAACTGAGTGTCAAGTTTTGAAGCATGGTCTTGCTGGTGCAACAAATATTGCTTCTCAACTTGCCAACAAACTTGGTGGGAGGGGAGAGGTTTGGAATGCAGACTTCAAAGATTAAGAAGCCAGACTGTGAGACTCAAGGACATTATACCGGGTATCTGGCTAGGCCTAAAAATGTTTTCTAATAACAATATTTTTCTACTTGATTGGGCAACATGACCTGACCCAAAGGGAAGAGGGAGAATTCAATGCTTTTACTATATGGGTTTGGGAGGGGTCTTGCCAGAGCTGGTTTTGCTTTCATTAGTGCTGAAGTGATGTACTCAATAAAGTTTTATATTAAGAGATTGGAATGTCTTGAAGTGTTTGCTTGGTTGGGTTCATAAGTCAGAACCTTGATACTGAGGTTATGTCAGCCTTAGTCAGCATTCACCAAAAACTAATTCAAGTGTGCCTGGTTGGAATAAAACGTTTTGGCTTAAGGAGATATGTATGTTAACCAGAGTGATAGTAACTTCAATTATGCTATCAAATTTTAACTAGATAGCTGCAGGACTCTCTTCTCCTACTGAATCAACTTATACTCTTGTCTTGGACAAGGCAAGTTATTTCCCAATTTCATAATGTGAAGAAGAATAAAACTAGAAAGCCTACTTCTTTGGTATGATTCTAATTTTATGGAATAGCTTCCATTAAATCCACAATTAGCTTCTCTTTCAGATCTTTCTAGTATATGACATCCAGAAAGCATTTGCAAATTACCTTTTTGCCACCATTGTTAGTTCTATTGCTGTGATTCTTACTGGGCTGATTTCTTAATATTCTGTCTATTAAGGAATTATGTTTAAAATTCATGATTTTAAATAGCTTATTGACTGTGGGTGTTTTAAATGTATTTGTATAATGAAAACTTTCATTTCCATTTGTTAACTGTCTGGGATCTGTGGCAGATTTGGTGGAATAGAAACAGAAGTAAAAAGGACATGTCATTAAGCATGTCATTAGATCCCATTTGTTAACATACAGTCACCAGACCTGGTTTGGATAAAATAGGAAATCATAATTACCCACTGTGTGAATGAGCATCAACAAGATTCAAACTCATATATTCTTTATTCGTTCTTTGAGGTGCTTCAAGGGAAAAACATAAACATTTGCTTTTAAATGAACTATTGTTACAGTTACAGCAAAATGCTGGGAATGTTGGGTTTTGATGTGGGATTATTTATTAATTAGAGTTTTAAAAAGTAAGTAGGAATGAAGTTGGCTATTAGGGTTAGAAAAAACTGGTTTAAGCATGCATATAATACACGAAAAGCTGTTTCTCTCGTCTTTCAGCATATCCAGAATGGGTGGAACATATTAATGATACCGAAAGAGATATTGGCAGTGAATTCTATTGGCCATGTATAGCTGCAGGCAAGCCTATTCCAACAATTCGGTGGCTGAGAAATGGATTACCGGTAGGTTTAACTTATTTATGAGTCACAAAATACTATCTTTAATGGTTAAAAAGCATGAATAAATTGATACAGTTCTTTTGTTAAATAATGCCAAAGTGAAATAGATTTCCAAAAATGAACTTTTACAGCATAAATATTGTTTTAGAAACACATGTATTTGTATTTAATTTAGTTTTGAAACCATCTTATTTTTCTGTGAAAATATTGTAAGTGTTTATAAAACTCTTTATTATGGCTTTCTGTGGCCGAACTATGGAGAATGTAGTTATTAAGATGAAAATCATAGTGCATTTTGTTTGTTCTGCCTAATTCCATTCATCCTGGGCAGAAGCTTCCACAAAAATTAAAACATATGCATACTTGGTTTTGTCAATTATGTGATTGGAAAGGGAGGGAATACGTTTCTCTTACTATGTGCAAAGTTTCTCCATCTTGATTAGGTTATTATGCTGGCTGTGATGGAAACCGCAGACTTTTAACATATTTCATAAGTTGGCCAAGAAAGAATGTCTTAAGTATACATTGGATTGTCCCTTAATTCACAGAATTTGAAAAACAAATAAAAGAAACATGGTACTGATCACTGTAGTGTTATTAAAACTGTTATACAAATGAAACCAAACTAAAGCAATATTTAAACTAAACAGTGGGGGCAGTGAGCTAATTGATACAGAACATCCCTGTCCCCAGCAATCTAAAAATTATAGGGCTATCAGTGCATGTAACAAAGATGTGTGTGTGTGTGTGGACAAGAATATCAACCTTGCTGTCAAGCAAAATCAAGCTTTTAATAGCGAGTGCCACAAAAAGTGCACTAACCAAACAGGTGGTAAGACAATAGGGGAACTCAGGCACCACATAGGTTATGTAGAAAGTAAACACAGGGCCAGTCATAAAGGACTCAAATGTCTATACACCAATGCACAGAGTATGAACAGCAAACAGGGTGAACTAGAAATTCAGGTTAATGAGGGCAGATATGATATTGTTGCCATTACGGAAACATGGTAAGATGAAACCCACAAATGGAACACACAGCTAGAGGGATTTAAATTATTTAAAAGAAACAGACCAAATAAAAGAGGAGGTGGAGTTGCTCTCTATATAAGAAATAACTACATCTCTACAGAAATAGAGCACAACAATGATGAAAACTGTCCTGAATGCATATGGGTCAATATAAAAGGGGAGGGGGGAACAACATTGCCATAGGTGTATACTATAGGCCACCCAACCAAACAGTGGAAATAGATGAACTTTTTGCTAGTCAACTAACTAAGGTATGTAGGAAGCACATCACAATAGTAATGGGGGACTTTAACTACCCTGACATCAACTGGGAGACAAACTCTGCACCAAGTGGAAGATCAAACAGATTCCTGACAAACCTAGCAGACAACTTTGTCTCCCAAAAAGTAGAGAAGGGAACTAGGGGATCAGCCATTTTGGAGCTAATTCTCACTAACAGAGATAAAATGATAGAAGGTGTTGAAGCCATAGGAACCTTGGGAGGAAGTGATCATGCAATATTGGAATTCAACATTATGAAAGCACAAGCAATAGAACAGAGTCAATCCAGAGTCTTGGACTTCAAGAGAGCTAATTTCAATAAACCTAGAGAGGGCTTGGGAAGGATTCCATGGATGAGAATTCTCCAGGGGAAAACAACTCAAGAGGCTTGGGAAATTTTAAAAAGTGAGATAATAAAAGCTCAGTCTAGCACAATACCAACAAAGAGGAAAAATAACAGCTCTCAAAAGAAACCAGCTTGGCTGCACAAAGAACGCTCTGATCAATTGAAAGATAAAAAGGACAAGTATAGAAAGTGGAAAGAGGGACACATAATTAAGTCAAAATATCAGCAAATAGCCCGAGCCTGCAAAGTTGAAGTGAGGAAAACTAAGGCTCAAAATAAACTAAGACTTGTGACCAAAGTCAAAAATAACAAAAAAAGCTTCTTTCAACATGTAAAAAACAAGAAAAAAGTGAAGGAAATGATTGGTCCATTAGTGGGTGAAAGTGGCAAGAAGGTGACAAGCAACAGGGAGAAAACAGAACTATTTAACTTGTTTTTTGCATCTATCTTTACACAAAGGGAAAAAACAGACCAACCTATCAAAAATAGTGCCATAAAAAACAGAATAGAAACACAAGTTAAGATAGGCAAGAAAATGGTAAGTGAGCACCTGTCCAGCCTAGATGAGTTCAAATCACCAGGACCAGATGGATTACACCCCAAGATTCTCAAGGAACTGGCAGATGTGATCTCAGAACCACTGAACTATATTTTTCAAAGATCCTGGGGCACTGGGGAACTACCAGAGGACTGAAAAAGAGCTGATGTAGTTCCAATCTTCAAAAAAGGAAAAAAAGGATCCAAGAAACTACAGACTATCAGCCTGACCTCAATACCTGGAAAGATTCTGGAAAAGATAATCAAACAACGAATCAGCGAATACCTACAAGAAAACCAAGTCATTACTAAAATCCAACACGGGTTTGTCAAAAACAGATCATGCCAGACAGATCTTATTGCATTCTTTGACCAAGTGACAAAATTAGTGGACCAGAGGAATGCTGTGGATATAATTTACTTGGACTTCAGTAAGGCATTTGACAAAGTAGATCACAACCTACTACTTGATAAGATAGAAAAATGCGGGTTAGACAGCATCACCACCAGATGGATCCGTAGCTGGCTGACCGGCTGTACTCAGCATGTGGTCCTCAATGGAAGCACATCTACATGGAGGGAAGTATGTAGTGGGGTGCCCCAGGGCTCTGTTCTGGGCCCAGTGCTCTTCAGCATCTTCATCAACGATTTGGATGAGGGGATAGATGGGGAACTCATCAAATTTGCAGACGACACCAAGCTGGCAGGAATAGTCAACACTCCAGAAAACAGGCTTAGGATACAGGAGGATCTGGACAGACTTGAACACTGGGCGCTATGTAACAAAATGAAATTCAATGGTGAAAAAAGTAAGGTTCTACATTTAGGCAAGAAAAACCAAATGTACAGGTATAGTATAGGGGGTACCTTGCTCAATAGTAGTAACTGTGAGAGGGATATCAGAGTCCTAGTGGACAATCTCTTGAATATGAGCCAGCAGTGTGCTGCAGCTGCCAAAAAAGCCAACACAGTACTAGGCTGCATTAACAGAGGGATAGAATCAAAATCACGCAAAGTATTAATACCACTCTACAATGCCTTGGTAAGGCCACACTTGGTAACCACAATGTAAAAAAGATATTGAGACTTTAGAAAAAGTACAGGGAAGAGCAACAAAGATGATTAGGGGACTGGAGGTTAAAACATATAAGGAAAGGTTGTGTAAGGACCCACCCCACTTTGCATCTTAAGAAGACAGAACTCTTGGAATAATTCTTCCAACAGGAATCCTTTATTAAGAGAAAATGGTTGCAGGCATGCTAGACAGGACTTGGGGTTCAAGCTCTCCCATTCAAGGTTTTAAGGGGTTCCCCAGTAGTCCCACCCAATCAACCCCCCTTCCAGTGATAGTTTCAAGTATCACAATTCCATCCCCTTTCTTCTTCCGTCTGGATGGAGACTTCAGATAACTACATGAAAGGCAATTACTCTTCTTTGATATGTTAACGCTTAGAGGCCACAATAAACACACATTCAGTCCTTTGAAGTGTGCTGAAGGAAGTGAGGGCCATAAAGCCCCTTTGCTCTCCCCCTTTTCTCCCTCTTATGGCAGAATCCAGAGAAGGCAGAATTGGGAGTTTCTATGTTTGATAATTAAAGATGAAATATAATTGGATTCTGACATCCGGCCCCTCTTAACAATAAGAGAGATCCACCTGAAAGAAAACACAAGTAAAAAATTTAGTTAGGCTTGTTAGGATACTCTGTGTGAAACTTCTTCAATAGCTTCGGGGCTCTGACGTGACGTTTATGGACCCACTCATTTTGTGAGGCAGGGAGGTGTTTCCAGGCAACTAGGTACTGAGTTGTTCCACGATATCTCCTAGAGTCAAGGATCTCTTTTATTTCGAAGTGTTGTTCCCCCTCCACCATGATTGGAGGTGGTGGGGGGGGGATTTTTGGCCGTAGAGGTGACTGATGCTCTCTTTTCAGCAAGCTGCAATGAAAAATTGGGTGTATTTGCCTGAGATTTTTGGGTAATTCTAATTCTACTGTTACTGGATTTATGATTCTTTTAATTGGAAAAGGTCCTATATATTTTGGTCCAAGTTTTTTACAGGGCTGTAGGGACTTTAGGTATTTTGTAGATAAGTACACCATTTCTCCTATAATGAATGGTGTAGGCTCAACCCTTTTTTTATCGGCTTGTTCTTTGTATGCCCGCCTAGCTTCATCTAGTGATTTTCTGACTATTGGCCAGGTGTTTTGTAGGTTTTCCATCCATTCTTTCAGTGAAGGGATCGTTGGTTCTTTTGGGGTTAACTCTGGCATAGGGTTGAAACTTTGGCCGTTGGCTATTTGAAAAGGAGTGTAGCCTGTGCTGGAGTGGACTGCATTATTGTAGGCAACTTCTGCAAAAGGAAGTAAGTCCGTCCAATCACTCTGTTGGAAATTTAAAAAACATCTCAAATATTGCTCAAGTACCGACTGGCAGCGTTCCGCTTGTCCATCTCCTTGAGGGTGGTGGCTAGATGTCAATCCCTGAGTGGTCCCTAAGAGGGATAAAAATTCCTTCCAAAATGCAGACGTAAATTGCACTCCCCTATCAGAGATGATGCGTTGGGGTGCCCCGTGCAATCTGTAAATGTGCTGGATGAAAAGTTTTGCTAAGGCCTTTGCAGTGGGAATTTTTTGGCAAGGGATAAAGTGCACCTGTTTGGAAAATAGGTCCGTGACTGTCCAGATAACAGTATTCCCATTGCTTTCAGGCAATTCCACTATAAAATCCATGGCTATTTCCCTCCAGGGGGCTGAGGGACTTGCCACTGGTTGTAACAGCCCTGGCGATTTCCCTTGCAACCTCTTTGCTGATGCACAGGTTGGGCAG